GAAGGAATATCGGTATGAAGCAATGTAATTCACGTTGAAGATCCAAGCTCATGCTTCATCCAAGTTTACCAAGAAGAGCTCATTGAAGATCAAGTTTCTTGGGTAAATAGTTTAGGCGTTATATTATGTGTATTTGTACTTTAAGCTCAATATCACATACACACACATACATTTTATTTTCTATGTATATATATAGTTATATATATACATAGATATTTTGGTTCTCAAGTTTCTATAAATATGAAATTACAATTTTTTTTCATATTTATTGTTTTTGTTTTGGTTTAGCTATATTGATATGAAACAACAAACAATTTTATACATATATTCTTTGTGTTTTAGAAAATATTGCATAGAATATGAATTTTTGTGAAAATATTGTATTCTTAGCTTTTAGACTTAACAGTCACCATATACATATCTTATTAAGTCTATATAATTATTTTATAAAGTTTTAAAACATGGTTTAGTCAAAAATATCAAAAACAAGTGTTGTTCATTTTTATGTTTTGGACTATTTTGTAAATGAAGAGATTTCTCATTTGGGAGGTGTTATTTGAAAACTAATTTTTGTAACATGTTCATTTTTATGTTTACAAGTATTCCTCAAAGTTTTATATTTTTCTGATTTTATTTTTTTATTTTTAAAAAGAATTTAAAAATTAGTTTTACTATTCATAACAGGTTGATATTGTGTTATTAGTCGACTGATAAAAGTGTTCAGTCGGCTGATAAAAATATCTAGAATCATCAATAGTTTCTATTTTTATATTGGTCGACTGATGAGCTGGAAAATGCCTATAACGGTCAGCTCATCAGTCGACTGATGCTGTAACGGCTAGTTTTTTTATTTCTATTATTTTTGTCTTTTTGCTGGGTTTTGTTGGTTTCTTCTTGGCTTTGGGGTTTCCTATAAATATCCCCACATATCCTCAGTTCTATTTTTAATCAAGAAGTTTTAAAAACAAGTTTACAAGAGTTTAGTTTGTTTTTAAAGTGTGTTTAAGAGGTTAGTTTGTGAAGAAATTTTCACAAGAGCTTGAGAAGATCATCCATTGGTGTTTGAGCATTCAACTCTTCTCCCCCCCCCCCCCCCCCTCC